TCGTCCTTTCCTGACTCGCAAACCCTTTGGGGGCCGGGATGGACATGGAAAGTGCGGTTTTCTTGTGAATCGTTGTTTTGCCAAGTTACCTCGCGCTCGAGGTAATTGCGGGATCGCGCATTGCTGTCTCGACCTCACACTGGGCGATTCTCTGCTTCGACCATTCCACGCGCAGACCTGCATACCTTTTTAACTTTTCAAACTTGCACAGGCACTCTCTCCATGGATGCCTCTTCTTTTTCCCCCACAATGACCCGCTGGCAATGGTTCCTGATGGCAGAACCGTCTGCTGCGCTGCAGTGCTTTCCGCTCCCGAAGACCCCCGCGGGTCTGACGGAGAAGCGAATTCCCGCGTTCGGATGTCCGACGGCGCGGTAGGCTCCGGAACCCACGCAACAACAGTGGCTTCTATCACACTTCCTGAATCCCTCACGGGCAGTTCATGAACTTCCTCTGATGGCACCTCAAGTTCTATTCACTGCAGTTCGACGAAGATTTGCGTCCAACTGCTTCCCAGTTCCATGCACTTCGAAATCGCGTCATCCCAGTCGGCGCCCATGGTCGCACTAAACACCGCACTCACATACAGCAGATTTGTCCCTGATCCCTAGCCTTGCCTCCCTGTTCCTTCTCTACGTCTCCCGATGATGTTCCCTCCACTCCGGAGCCGCTTCAACTGGCCCCGGCGGTTTGGCGTAGCCCGCAGCCCCAGTTTGGCCGGCAACCTCGCCCACTTTGGCGCCGCGCCACCCTGGCCCAGGCAGGGGGGGGCCCAACAACTGCGCAGGCTCTCCTGGACATCCTGCCCCCAACTGGCCAAAAGCGACATCGTTGGCTTTCTTGGGGCACCGGGCAACGATGTGACCATTCTCCACATTTGGAATACCCCCTTTCGCCTGCCAGCACAAACCGGCATCCTTGATAACCACCTAGCGCGTCTCCTTCGTAGCCTCCCTTGCTATAAACCCCTGGACACCCTTGGTACCCTGGTTACCTCCCTTGCATCCTCCTGCTTGCGACCTGGTAGCCCACAGCACCTCTATACGATCCTCTGCCACCTCCTTTTCCTTTCGGGGTTCCGTAGGTGGCGCGGCCCTCGGCAGCATGCCCGTGCCCTCAACATGTGCAACACATGAACCATTTGCCTTTGCCCTTGCTTTTGCTCACTTCTTTCGCGTTGCCGATTCCGATCATGTCCTCGGCATTCCAAGCCCACCAGTTCCCGTTTTCGTCATAAGAGTCTGAATTATAAATGCCTTTGTCCCAGTTGCCTCTGTACCCGTGGTTTACCCGGCCGACCCCCATAAAATCAGCGTTTTCCCGCGTCGGCGTCTAATATTGCATTCCTCGCCCAATCTTCGCACGGATCGAAGAGCTTCTGGTAGGCGTCAAGGTTGAACAGTTCTGGGATACTGAATCAATCCCGTTGCCAATCGTCGAACCAATCGCCCACGTGAGTCGCGATGCTCCTCAAATCAGTAACTCTGAGCGGTAATGGCAACGAATCAGCAGACCCATAGTTTCCCGAAGACTCTGCTAACGCACTCCTTTGTCCGAGCTGGGTCGCCGCATCGTTCACTTTTGTCTGGTGTTTCGGGATTCGTGGCCAAGCTCATCTCATATGAGAGTGTGATCCCGGCAGCGGCGCAATATCATGTGTACATATTCTGGTAATACATAAAACAGACACCTTCGAGAAGACCGTTGAGATTTCCCCGGGCCTTTCCTGCAGACTCAGTGGCCTCAGCGAAAATTCTGAAAAGTATTCGCTTGACGTGAAGAATTTTAGGTTCGCACTATATTTCAAATTATTGAACTGTCAATCGCAGTGCACGTTGCGGTTGATAGCTGAAATCAGGGGAACACGCACTTTGAATGCTCATCTACAGCATTGTAAATGTTTCAACGTTGCCCCGTCCTCGTGCCCTGAGCAGCACTGCGCTCGAAGAATGAATTCACGCCTTCGTGGTTGGCCTTGAGCGCCGTGTCAACATAACTACCTGAAATCTCTGTTCTCTGACAGCCGCTTGGGCATCCTACACTGTGCCAGAACACCACGCCTGGAACTTCAACGCCGCGAATATCCGTTACCTCTGCGTTTTGACGATCTGGAACCATGCCAGAACACCATTACTGGAACTTCAACACCACGAATCAATGTTAGTGTTGCGCCCAGACTGTCCGACAACGTGCCGAACCACCATTTCTGGCATGTCAAAACATGGGGGCCCTTGGCATTGCACAGTTCCGCGAGTCGGCTCGTCTGCAGGTTGTACCATGCCTCTCGGACTTCAGGTAGCGTTGCATCGAAACCTGGGTCGGCTGCGCCAGGGTTCGCTGGTGCCGCTGCGGCCACTGCCGAAAGGGAGGTGCTTCGTGGACATGACCCACGCGCACTAAAAACCGTCGGGCGAACCACGGGTTCCGCCACCATCAATCAAAATCTTGCTGGAGCCTTTTTCCCCTGGAGTCAGATTGAACTTGAGCCAGAGACAGTTCCGCACAAACGGAACCAAGACGGCGTGAGACTTCCTACGCTCCCGAAGCACAAATAGCGGTGCACCGTGGCAGAGAGATCAGCCAGTCAGAACTCTAAAATCCAACTCCTCCTCCTCCTCCTCCTCCTCCTCCTCCTCCTCCTCCTCCTCCTCCTCCTCCTACTCCTCCTCCTCATCCTCCTCCTCCCCCCCTACGTTCGAGCACTCGGGCAGCAGCACCGACCCGCCCGACGGCAGTGCCGAAGAGCACCTCGCCAGACACGGTCGTAGAGGGCCCGCCCGCCTCCAGAGGCCAACGGGGGGCAGGAACGGGCCGCGGCACCGACCTGGTCGAGCGACCTCGACTCTTTCTCGCTCTGTCGTGCTCCCGCCTGCATGCCTGAGGCCTCCTGGAGTACGGACAGGGCGCCTGTCCTGCTGCCCGCCGCCAGCAGGCTCTCCTGCGCCACGGCCGGGCGCGCCCGGCGGCCTGCGCAGAGAGGGCCACGGCACGCGAGCCGGCTGCCAAACCTCGCCTCTCCACCGCGCGATGGCCTCGGAGCCCCCGAAGACCTCACCGCACGGTCCGTCGACGCACGGCACGTCGCCACGCGGTGTTGGCGTGGTCGCCGCGCGGCTTGGGAGCCCCCGAGTTTCTCGTATCGCCTCGTCTCTTCCCGGGAAGGCGCGCGACCTCAGAGAGAACACGACCAGTACCGTACACATGCGAGATAATCAAAAAGGTGGAGATGGATATGCTGAAAAGGATGCTCATCGCACCTCCGCCGGGGCCAGCACCTTCCCCAGACCTCCACAGAGGTATTAGAAAGACAGAGGGTGAGGATAGAGGGATAAAGAGACAACAACAAAAACGATGCAGCCAATGAGAGTATAGATGAAGATGATGCACAGGCGGTGGTGATCTCTGCTCTCTGCACGTTCTGTCTTTTGCGTGTTTTTCTGTAGGATTACGGCTCCTCCTCCTCCTCCTCCTCCTCCTCCTCCTCCTCCTCCTCCTCCTCCTCATCCTCATCCTCATCCTCTTACTCCTCCTCCTGCTGCTCCTTCTGCTGCTCCTTCTCCTCCTCCTCCTGATTCCCTTTCCTTTTGTCCCTTTCGCACCCCAGGCGTGTCAGTAGGGGGGTGGCGGGCGTTTTGTTTCAGCTTCACGGATGGAGGACAGGTGGTTCTCAAAATCTGGCTCTCACCTCAGCGCCGCGCACACCCAACGGCTTCGAGGATGGATGTCAGGAGGTTTTCAAAAGGCGGTATGCGCCTTAGGGCCGCACACTTTCGTCTTAAAAGTCTGTGTCAGCTTCAAGGGTGGAGGGCGATTCCGTTTCAGAATGTGGCTCTCGCCCTGGCGCCGCGCAACACGCGTCCTGAAAGCTTAACAGCTTCAAAGGTAGAGATTCCCTTTCAGAATGTGGCTCTCGCCTTGGCGCCGCGCACTTCCGTCGTTCTGAAAGTTCGCAACTGTCTCAACAGGTTCGTATGATCGAAATCCAAGAAACAAGGTTCTGGCACGATTCCGGATTGTCAAGGCGCAACAGTCACAGCAATTCGCGGTGTTGAAGTCCCAGGAATGGTGCTCTGGCACGGTTTAGACCTGTCAGGACGCAACCGTCACGCTGATTCGCGGCACTGAAGCCCCACGGATGTTGTTTTGGCCCGACGGAGGATTTTCAGACGATCATGTTCCAATGGGGCACCTCCCACAATGAAAGGAAATCTTTGCTGAGACCTATGAGGAGAGAGAACTTGGACAGAGGGTTTACTGCAAAATCGCTGGTGCGTCTTGGGTTTGCACTAGTCCTCCTCCTCCCCCACTCCTGCCCCCCCACTCAGGCGAGGCCAGAACCGAATCGATGCGTCGGACTGGCGATCGAAATGAATCGAATCGGCGGAAATCGGCATCCGAGTCGGGAGAAGTCGACCCGGCGGAAAGCGGCAGGCTAGTAGGCCTCTATTTAGAAACCGAGATCCATATCGGAATCCGAAATCGAATCGAATCGGAATCGGAAGCCATCGAAATCGAAGTCGAATCAGAATCGGAGGAATCGAAACGAGCCCTGCCCTCTTGCCTTCCCATCCGTTCCCAGGCGCGTGCCCCCCCCCACCCCACCCCACCCCGACACACTCCCTACCCTTATGTTGCTCCCATCGTACTTGAGGACCACATCCCAGAAATAATTTCGAGCACCCGGAAAAGTGTCAAAAGAGCGTCGAAGCAGTGTCGAAGTAGTGTCTCCCAGGGCCCGACACGTGAAAACCCTCGAGTTTTTGAATACTTTTCTGGCGCTCGGAATTCTCTCTGGTGGTCAAGGCTTAAGTCGGTTGGAACATCATAACCCTCCTCCTCCTCCTCCTCCTCCTCCTCCTCCTCCTCCTCCTCCTCCTCCTCCTCCTCCTCCTCCTCCTCCTCCTCCTCCTCCTCCTCCTCCTCCTCCTCCTCCTCCTCCTCCTCCTCCTCCTACCCCCCCCCCGCTGCCAGCCGCGGGGGGAGGCGGGAAAGCGCCGAAGGAGAGGCGCCTGCAGCAGCGCGCCCAGCAGCAGCCAGCCGACCACGATGGAGAACACCTGCCGTGCGCTCGGCAGGCATGGGGAGGACGACGACGACGACGACGACGACGACGACGACGAGCACGACGACGACGACGACGACGACGACGACGACGACGACGACGACGACGACGACGACGACGAGGCTCGAATAGGTTTCTCGCCAGTGTCGGTTCTGGGATCACGCTTCGGGCCGCGGGACCGTCCGGAACGGATCCAGGATGAGGAACTGGCAGGGGTGGATCTGGGGAGTGGTCCGGGGACCTGGCATGGGAGGGATGGGCGATGGCATGAGGAAAGGGGGGGGGGAGGGAGGAAGAAGGGCGGAGAGGGGGAGGGGGTGGGGGGAGAGGGCGAGGAGAGGGAGGGGGAGAGAGGGAGGGAGAGGGGGAAAAGCGGGCGGGGAAGGGAGAGGAAAGAGGGGGGGAAAAGCGGGCGGGGCAGGGAGAACGGGGGGTGGGGGGGGAAAGCGGGCGGGAAGGGGAGGCGGGGAAGGGCGGCTTGGAGAGCGAGGGGGAGGGCGCGCGTCTTCGACAGCGCGCTGGGGGCACACGGGGACACACCAGCCCTGGCAAGCCCGCGGGCTGGCGAAGCCACATGCACACAGAGTGACAACGGCAAGGGGCAGCAAAAACGTGCCGCCCGGCACACCAGGCTGCTGCAGCCGGCAGAGGAGCGCGGCAGACCAGGCCTGCTGGGGGGGGGGGAAGCTCTCCGGTTCTGACTGACTGAGCATCGCCTAACCGATCCCTATCCCCACCGGTGTGGCCTGGGCCCCACTGGCCGATTTGCCTCCCCCAGGTGGGGATGTGGGCTGCTCCCTTCGGGTCTCGAGGGGTATGTCCCCAGCTGGGGTGGTGAGATGGTCGGGCTCGGGATGGGGATGGGGATGGGGATGGGGATGGGGATCGGTTGAACGATACTGACTGACGGGGCCCTGCAGAAAGCCGGCGCTGTGACGCGGGGCGCTGACGAGGGCGTCCTGCGGCGCGCGCTGCGGGGTCTCGCGGCAGGCGGGGGCACCGCCCGCCGCGCCCCTCTGGGGCAGGGCAGGCCGCCCAGACCGCCCGCCGCGCCCAGGCGTGCGCGGCCAGCGCGGGGAGCCTGGCGAGGCACGGCGCGCACACGCACTCGAAGCCGCGGCGGCACTCGAGAAAAGGCGGCCTGGAGCCCGCGCCGAATCCGAGAACGCCGCGCTGTCTCGGGCACGGCTGGAGGGCTGGCGGCCGGGGCGGGGCGCGGCAGGGGGGGGGGCGGCGCTGCGGGGCGGCGGCGGGCGCACATGGGCCCCTCCTCT